GCCAGCATGAGCGGTCGGCAGCCGCAGTGAGCGGCCGTCCAGAAGCCGGCAACTGATCTGCCTCGCCCGGGAAGAGCGCAATGATGGTGCCAACTTGGGCCAGTGAAGCAAGGTCCTCCACAACTAGACTGAAGAACAAAAGGACAGCAACTTATCTGTTCCCCTCCCCCAATTCCCCAGCACTGTTCCCATCCCCCAATTCCCCAATAAAAATCTTTAAAAAAAAAAAGGAAACAAACCAGCTTAACTTAGATGGATCTTAGATATAAAAAGCCAGACTCAAAAGAATTCAAATTGTCTATTCTGTATAAAGTTCAAAGACAGGCATAATTAAACTCTAATGCATTAAATCTAAACTCCAGTTAGATGGTAAATTTACAGAGAAGCAAGGAAGTAATCGCCATAAATTTTAGAAGAGTGGTTATCTTTAGAAAGGAGAGAGGAGGCTGTGATTGGGAAAGGGTCTGGGGGCTTCTGGTATATTGAAATTATTGTATATCTTCATTTTGGTGATAGTTACATGACTATATGTATTTGTCACAACTCACAGAACTGTATATTAAAAAGGATGAATTTTGCTCTATGTAAATGAAACCTCAATAAACCTGACTTTTAAAAAAATGTCTATACCATTTGATCCAGAAATAATACTGGATATATGCAAAAATTCAGTTGCATAAATATTTATTATAGGAAGTACAATATGGTTTATAAGAGTAAACCTAACTATCGAACGACAAAGGAAATGGCCAAAAAGTTATTGTACATCCATAAAGAACACTATGAGGGTATTTAGCATATTAAACATGACCTAAAAGGTTATATGCTAAAATGTAAACAATGACTATCTTTGGGGTAGGATTCTAATACCTTTTTTTTCTTAGCTGTTATTTTCTAATTTTTCAACAATGAACATAGATTGCATGTGAAATCATAAAACAAATGTTAAAGTATACTTTTAAAGGAACATATAACTAAGGAGTACAGAAGAGTGGTAAAGGCCTATAAGAGAAATATCTGAAAGCCTCCTGCCAAAATGAGCTGAGACTAGGGAAAAATATCAAGAACATTTAAAATAGTTTTCCTTTGTGTTTTAGTTATATTTAAAGCACAAAGAATCAAAGAAGGAATAGGTTTACTATTTGGGGTGCTAGGTAAATAGGCCACCAATATCATGTTATGGGCTAAGAGAACAAGCAACACTATTTTATTTTGCTTCAGTCTGAACGCAACACAATTATATGCAGAATACAAAGTAAAACTGAAGCCCAACATCCTTGAGGAGTGGGTGACAGAGACCTTATCCATTCTGAATGTGTTTAAGTCAATGGCCCAGGTGATTGCTCCTGGATTCACCAGAGATTTTCCAGACTGCTGTACTGCTACAGGTAATCTGAGGAATTCTGGAAAACAGGAGTGGTGCTGAAAGGCAGGGAGTAGGCAAATGCTGTTTTGATTTTCGAAATGGGGAGAAAATAAAAATCAGATTCCACAAACTAGATCGGTAGGTAAACTTTACATCCATTCCAGGCAAAATTCTGGCTGGATTTATTAAATCCATTCAGAAAAAAAATCCATGATCACTAGATATCAAATCATTAATAAGGCATTTTGGAAAGTCTCTCACAATACCCTTGTGAACAAAACAACAATCAGGTAGGTCAGCTGAACATCATGGACAAAGAGTACTGTTTAATGGGTTGAAGTAAATTACAGAGAGAGGTATCCAGTGATGGCCTGTGGCGTTTGGTCCTCAGTTTGGTCTTGTTCGACATTTTTATAAATGACTTGGATGAGAACACTGATGAGCATATTTATCAAACCTGTAGTTGACACAAAGCTGAGAGGGATAGCTAATACGACAGATGACCGAATCAGGATCCAAAAAGGTCTTGAAAGGCTGGATCTGTGTCGAATCTAACAAGATGAAATTTAACAAGGGTAAAAGTAAGTCTAACCCTTAAGTCCAGAAAATCAATACAAGTACAAGACAGGGGAAGCTTGACATGATGGCAATTCAAATGGAAAACTTAGGGTTTTTAACTGACTGAAACCACAGAATGGGTGAAAAGCTGGGAAGTTAGAAGGGAGTAAGGTTTAGCTTTGTAAATATTATTTTCCTTTCAGTTCAACATAAACTTTTTGATAGATTTGAAAAACGTAACAGGCTACTTCAGGAGGTTAATGTCCTACTGGAGGTCTTCAAGCCAAAGTTAGATGATTGCCCTGGATGCTGAAGAGAGTAGTGGAATGCAGGGGAGTGAGTAAAAAAATGACCCTAATAGTGTTAAGATTCTACAATCTACTTACATATGAATAGGAGTACATGTAATTACAATTTACAAAGTGAAAATCATCTCATTTCAATTGACTTAAAGTTAAGTCCCTGAAGATCTGCTGCACAGGGGAGTTCAAACTTAGGCTCTTTTTTTTTCTTTCTTTTACATCCTCCCTTTCCTCTGTAAGTCCAAAGACTTTTTAAAAGAAAGACAACAGTATTTTCTCACTTCTCATGACTAACTTAAAAACAGTTTAAAATTTGTTATTATGAAATTAAGATATGCTCTTTATAAATAAAATTAAACCTCTGATAACTATAAAACTAAAAGCAAAGGCTCCTTTTCTGCTTTCCCCCCAAAATATTCCCTAACCTCTTCTGGAGCCTCTAGCCTCCAAAGGCCTTCCTTCTCTGACTCCCTGGGGACATACTATCTATATACCCTGACAGCTTTTTTTTTTAAAGATTTTTTATTGGGGCATTGGGGGGATGGGAACAGTGCTGGGGAATCGGGGGAAGGGGAACAGACAGTTGCTGTTGTTTTGTTCTTCAGTCTAGTTGTGGAGGACGTTGCTTCACTGGCCCAAGTTGGCACCATCATTGCGCTCTTCCCGGGGGAAGCAGATCAGTTGCTGGCTTCTGGACGGCCGCTCACTGCGGCTGCTGGCAGTAGCCCATGACAACCCACTGCCACAGGGGCTGCAGCCTACGCCGTTGCCAGCGACTCAGCAGCCCAGCTGGTTGAGCTGTTGTTCAGCATCTTAGCTGTAGAGGGCAGTGTCACTGGCCCTCATATGTGGGATCCGAACCGGGGCCCTCTGGCGTCCCAAGCCAGTTCTTAACCTTCGCGCCACTCGGCCGGCCGCCCCCCCCCATCCCCCGACAGCTTTTATTATACACCATGCTTTCTTCGCAACAAAACCAAAAGCTCCTAATGTAAGATTTGTCTTTTACTTCTGTGTAGGTCATGTATTAAACACAAGCATGCTGTAGAAACGGAACATTTAACTTACTGATATTTCTAAAGTAAGAAATAGCAACATTCTTGAGGTGCTAAAAGTCTTCCTTTCACTTCATATTTAGAGTGGACATTGGTTGATTTGCCAATCTAGCATTCATTACCTCCTCTGACCTACCCACCCAGCTCATCATTGATTTACAGAAATCGATTCACGTGTACTAGGAAAAAAATGAGACCTAAGTCAATCAGTTTCACAACCCCATAGACATGGTTTAGGGTTGGGCATGTAACCCAAGCTACACCAACAAGATGCCATCAACTTAAAGCTGAGAGGCTATACAGGGCCCTAGATACTGCAGCCACCTTGGGACCAAAGGAATGAACCTATCCAACTATGGAACCGACACCCAAAAGAACAAACCTGAGAGTTAGAGAGAGGACCCTGGTGAAATCATTTAGTCTACCTACTAAGTATTATTACCATTCCATTCTTGATCTCAGAACTAACTTCAAAGCCTTCTTCCTCCACCAAGCATACTACATACACTGGCTCCCTAAGTCTTTACCCTTATGCTGGAGGAACTCTTCTCATCTGGCATGAAAGACAGTGATGGAGGGGAGAGAATGAAAAAGGATTCTTAGAATAAAAAATATAAATATAAAAATATAAACATATGCTAGCAGAATGTGAGCCATATATTACAGATGTACAAATGCTGACGGCATGAAATGCTGAGAGACTGAAAAAGTGACAGACATCTGGGTGTGCAGGTTGGTAGAAGAAAAAAGGCTTTATGAGAAAGAGGCAATCTGGGATGACTCCTGCATTATCTGTCCACAGCGAACCTTTTGTGCCACTCTCTCACTCATTCACCACAATGGTAATTTTTCAATTCTTAAAAACTAAGTTCTTTCTTTTCTCAAAGTAATTATTCCACTGTCTGGATGTTCTTTCCCTAAATCCTCTCGTGACTGGCTCCTTTCTCACACTTTCAATCTCTGTTCAAACATCACCTCTTCAGAAATACCTTTCCAGGTCAACCAACCTAACCTGGGCCTTTCTCTTTTTCCATCACCTCTTATTTCCTTCAAAGTTCTTATCACCAACTGTATTTACTTAAAATGTTTAGTTTATCAACTCTTCCCACTACTAGAATGTAAGCTCCCTGAAAACAGGGTTTATCTTGAACACTTCTTTATACCAAAATCTGGCAAAGCGGTAGGTAATGAATAAATTAATATTTACAGAAGAGAATGAATGGCAGAAAGTGAGACTATAGCTCGGGAGAAAAGTCGGCGTTGTAATCAGGCTGTTCCTAAGGAAGGCGATAGGAAGTGGGCAGGAAAAACCAGCTAGGCTCGAGTCCGCAAACGTCGGCGAGAGTAGGAGGTCAGGACAGGGCTCTAGGCTTCCCCCGGCCACGCGTGGGTGGGTGGGGGGCTGGGTGGGCAAAGGGACACAAACTACTTAGTAACTAACTCATTTCCCTTCCGGGAAACCAAACTCGAGGCTCTCTTCAGAACACCCCTAGTCCCGCCCCGTGGACCTTACGCAGCCGTCTTCTACGAAATCGCTGGCCCAGGGGCACCAAACTTATTGCCCGAGCCCCCCAGGAGTAGGCAACGTGTGAGAAAATCGGTCACCCTCTGCCGCTCCGCACTGAGAGTCCGACACTGGTTCCACATCCCGGCGCCACCTCACCCGCCAGCTGACGCGCTTCTCCCCGCCCTCCCCCTCCCCCGACCGGGACCCTCTCTTACGCTTGTCTCCGGGCTATGAGCCGATGCATGGGAGTCGCCATCTTAGCGCGGCTGAGGCCCGCCGCGCTGGGTTTTGGGAAACTCCTGGAGAGGGCGGGGACTTCGAACGGTGGCGGACGCAGGCGTGGGCGGAGCTTGTCCTGCCTCGCTGACTTCTGGGACTGCTTTTGGGCAAGCAGTTGACCTCTTGTGTCTCCCGTGTGGGTGGGTCTTTGGTTTGGGGAAAGGGAGTGAGGCATGTTGTCTGATCTGAACGGGGTTTTCAAGGTTGGTTACTTGTACAGTTGTTCAAACCCTTGAACAACACAGATTTGAACTGTGAGGGTCCACTCATGTACAATTTGTTTAAATAAATACAGTTGGCCTTTCCTATCCACCAGCATCCACGGGGTTCACATCCATGGATGTGAATCGAAAACAGTAGTTTTGCATTTCCAACCTTGATTCACAAAAACAGATGGAAAAGACTGTTTTTGATCCGCGGTTGGTTGAATCCGTGGATGCGAGGGGCTGACTGTTGGGTCAAAATTTGTACACCTATTCTCAACTGTGGTATCTGGGCCCCCTAGCCTCGTTCAAGGGTCAATTGTATTTTGCGTGGAGAGGCAGGAAAGAACATTCTTCACAAGGGAACTGTATATATATATATATATATATATATATATATATACATATATATATATATAAATAAAGTTATATGTAAATATATAGTTTTATATGTGTACATAGTTATGTATAGTTATATATGTATGTATATTCACACACAAAGAATAAAACCAGTGTTCAGAAAACTAGACTTAGCCTGGAAACCAAACTAAAAAGGAATGCGTAGAATAGGATTGGGACCATCATTTGAAAGACTAACTTTAGCAAACCATAAAGCGAAAATACAGGTTAATTATATTTTTATGTATTTCTTTGGGATGTTACAAAGACCAAATGATATACTATATAAGTAAAGATGCTTTGTCTATAGGAAAAAGGTTATACAAATATTAATTAGTATATTTTTAGCATTTAATGTCAGATCATGGAGATTTTATTACTTTAAATCTACATTCTTTGAAACATATACAACTTTTTTAACTATTGGGTTGTTGGAAAAGTCATGACGCATTTTTGTGATGAAAAACAGAAAAAAATACGTCATGACTTTTCTGACAACCCAATATATATGTATGTTTCCATTTTTTTTTTCTTTTTTTAAATATGGAACGCTTCATGAATTTGCGTGTCATCCTTGTGCGGGGGCCATGCTAATCTTCTCTGTATTGTTCCAATTTTAGTATATGTGCTGCCTAAGCGAGCACTCTTCATTTTTTTTTTCAATTAATATTTACCGAACACCTAAAATGTATTAGGATAAAACATTGAACAAATAAAGTTCTTGTATACATGGAACTGCAGACAATAAACAAAGGCAAAGTGGAGTGTAAATACTTGAGTGTAAGGGGGTGAAAAGTGATTAGCATTCGGAGACAGACTTTTGAGTACACCTTTTTATTTAAAAAATGGAATCTTAAAAAATACAGAATCTGGGCCGGCTGAGTGGCACATTGGTTAAGAGCTGGCTTGGGTCACCAGCTCTGAGCAGCAGGGCCCTAGTTCGGATCCCACAAGCGGGCCAGCGATGTTGCGCCCTCTACAGCTAAGATGGTGAACAACAACTCGACCTGGAGCTGGGCTGCTGTGAGTCTCTGGAGAGGGCGTAGGCTGCAGTGAGGCTGCAGTAGGCTGCCATAGGCTACCATGAGTGGCTGGCAGCCGGCGTGAGCTCCCAAGAGCCACCGTGAGTGGTCGTCCAGTGGCCGCCGACCAATCTGCCTCCCTGGGAAGAGCGCAATGATAATACCAACATGGGCCAGTGAAGCGACCTCCTCCACAACTAGACTGAAGAACAAAAGGACAGCAACTTCTCTGTTCTCCTCCCCCGATTCCCTAATAAAATCTTTAAAAAAAAAAAACCAGAATCTTACAATCTGTTCTGTTCTTCAGCTTGCTGTTTTCATTCCTCAGTGTACTTATGGACATCTTTTCCTGTATCAGCACATACAGATCTAATTCATTCTTTTTATATATTACATTATATGGATTACATAGCTATTCCACAATTTATGCAACCAGTATTGTATTGTTGAGCAATTAGATCATTTACCACAGAGATGGAATGAACAGATGTTTAAGCACTCACCCGTGTTTCTGTAAGATAACTTCCTAGAAGTGGAATTGCTGGGTCAAAGGATATGGGCACTTTTAATTTTGATAGATATTACCTAATGCCCTGTAAATAGGTTGCACCCAAAACTGCTTCCTCACCTGAGAATGGTCAAACTTTTACTTTTGCCCATCTAATAAGCCAATATGGTGTATTATTGATAAAGTTAAATACCTTTCATATGATCATTGAAGACTATCTTTCATGAATTATCTTTTCAAATTCTCTGCCTATTTTTCTATTGGATTTTTATCTTTTTAATGTGGACTTGTAGAAACTTTTAATATTTTACATATAAACCCTTTGTTTTACATTTTTACAAATATTTTTCCTATTTGTCTGTTCACTTTGTGATCATTTACCCTGTAATAGGCATTAAATTATTATGTGGGCATTTTTTAACAATCTTTCTTTATGGGTTCCTAGATTTGGCTAATGCTTAGAATGGCCTTCTATGTCCTAAGATTATTAAAATATTTTCTTGTATTTCATTGTAATTCTTTAATTACAACTGTGATCATATTCTTAATCCTAATTTTTAGTATTTGAAACACCATTGACTAAATTATCACTTTTTTATTGATTTGAAATGCCACTTTCTCATAGACTAAATATGCACAAATTTAGTTTTTGTTTGGATATTATATTTTCTTCCAAAGATCTATTTGTGCCAGTATTTGTGTCATTGTTTTAATTTCCATGGTTTTATAGGATATTTTGATAGCTGATAAGGCAAGTCCCTCCTAATTAGTCCTTTTTCCCTCAATTGTTTTGTTGCTTCTAGGCATTTACTTTCCTAGATGAGCGTTATTCTCAAGTATTCAAGTTTCCTACAAAACAATATTAAGATTTATTAGTCAGCTAATTTTATTTTATTATTTTAAAAAGTTTTATTGGGGAATTAGGGGAGGGAATAGCATTGGGGAATCGTGGAAGGGGAACAGACAAGTTGCTGTCCTTTTGCTCTTCAGTCTAGTTGTAGAGGACGTCGCTTCACTGGCCCATGTTGGTTTTGTGATCATTGCGCTGTTCCCGGCATAGGCTGATCGGTCGCCGGCCATTGGACAGCTGCTCACAGTGGCTTATGGCAGCTCACGCCAGCTGCTGGCCACTCATGGTAGCTTACGGCAGCCCACTGCAGTCCCACTACAGCCTACGCCGTCACGGGCGACTCACGGGAGCCCAGCTCCAGGCCAAGCTGTTGTTCACCATCTTAGCTGTAGAGGGCGCAGCGTCACTGGCCCATGTGGGATCCGAACCGGCGGCCCTGCTGCCCAGAGCCCGTGCTCCCAAGCCAACTCTTAATTAATGAGCCACTCAGCTGGCCCAGGCAGCTAATTTTAAAAGAAACTGCATTATAGCAAATGTAGAAAGGCAGGGCACATATGAGAATATAACAAATCAAAAGGAGGAAGCAAATGACATCATTTGTGATGATTTGGTTGCATACCTGGAAAGCCTACAAGAATTAATCAAAAACTTCTAGAGAGTTCAACAGAGGAGCCACATACACAATACAATAATAACGCGGTTTTTTCAGTGGGAAGACTGAATCAATGTAACTGTTTCCCACTGAGGCCCAAGGGCTTGATGGGCCCTTAACTTTTTCCTGAGGCCCAGGCTAAAATTCTGATGCTAAGTTTTATAAACCTTAATGCGTAGAAGCTGAAAAACAATTTAAAACCCTTGGGAATGCAGCAAGTAACTTCTATCTAGTAAGAGTGAGCACTTTATTAGTTTTTAAGCAGACTACGCATTCCTTTATTCTAGGAAAACCTCCCTCAAGTGTCTTCCAGTTATGTATGATGTCTCTAAGAACTCGGGGAAGGATGTATGTAAAAGGTATGTGTGGAGGGAGAGTTGCATCTCTCTGGACTGGGTTGCTTTTGGTCAGGATGGTTGTTTCCTGCCCTGACCCTGACCTGTTTACGAACACCTGTAGTTAGAGCTGAGCACAGGTCGGGGCCTGCTTTGTGGGCAGGCAAACTAGGTAGCACACAGCGTTCCTGCTTAGAAAAGTCTCACACTTGGCTTGATGCTCTGCTACTGCCATGTTGAAATTCTTTAAAGCTCTTGAGTAGGAGGTCCTGCATTTTAATTTTGCACCTGGCCTTATACACTATATAGCTGGTCCTGCACCAGAAGTTGGTAAAGGTGTTTTCACAAGACACTGTGAGACTGAGGTTAATGAAAACTAGCTCCAACAGGACTAGAAGAAGAAAGAGAAATGATCCTCCCATTTTTCCTAGAATTCAGAATCAGTCTTTTCTCTGAAGATTGGTAGCTATTGTAAAAAACAAAAACAAAGGGGGGAGGGGAGTTGTCACTTTGTGAGGGCTGAAAAGGATAACTAGTGCATTGTTTTGTACACCTGAAACTAATAATAAAAAAACAAAAACAGAAACAAAAAACCCACTTTTGTTTTTCATGCTGGTGCAAAATCAAATGGGGGCTCTCCCTTCATATGCCTTTGCATATAAGAAAAAAAGAGTTCTTTTTCTTCCAGTAGGGTAAGAAAATTTGACTAACTTGGCTAGTCAAGGGAGAGGTTCAGAGTAGGGAGACCATTTTTTTTGTAAAGAGGGGACTCGGGGAGGGCATTTGGGCACCTGTGTGTATAAGGCTCTGGTTTTCTGAAAAAAAGATGGCTCTTACACCACCTCTGGGTTTGGGGGTGACAGTGATGCTTGAGGCTCCCTGGAATGGGGTGAGACCTACCTTCCTCTGTTATTGCCACTTTCCAAGAGGGCTTGAAAACTACATACTCAAAAGTGTGTCACATCCTCTTATCTTCAGACACGCCTGCTTGGGTTCCTCAGAGTCCTTGGGCCCTGATGCAATACTTTGCTGTGACATAGCTGTGAAT